TATAAAACGAGATAACCATAGTCACACATTAATGTAAAAGAATCAGGTTCAACTATCCATGGATTTCTAAAACTGAGCTATGCAACCCTATCTGTTTTAAAACCTTCAGCAGTGGAAGAAAACAACTAATTTAAGAAGAAACGTTAATTTCTTGCTCCCTGGCCATCTTAGCAGCTGGTTTTGGCTGGGGGCCTTCTTGCCCACACCTAAGGCAGAAAGATGATGACCACAAAGAAGTCGTCTCTCAAGTCGATCAGCTTGAGGGTCCAGCTTGTTATGAAAAGTGGAAAGTATGGGCTGGGGTACCAGCAGGGTCTGAAGATGATCAGACAAGGCGAGTGAAACTGGTCATCCTCACTCATGCCCATACTAAATTGCATGCTCATCTAAATTGCTGAGATTTATGGCTTGGCAACCATAGCTCAGTGGTTAGGGTGTCGGCCACATGAACCAGGGCTGGTGGGCTCAAACCTGGTAGTTGTTGTTATTGACAACAATAACAAAAAAAATAGCCAGGTGCTGTGGCAGGAACCTGTAGTCCCAGCCACTTGGGAGGCTGAGGCAAGAGAATTGCTTAAACTCAAGAGTTGAAGGTTGCTGTGAACTGTGACACCACAGCACTCTACTGAGAGTGACATAGACTCTATCTCAAAAAAGTAAAAAATAAATAGCTGAGACTTTCTTTTTGTTTCATATGCTACTGCTCAGTAACCTCATGAGGCAGCAGTGGGATGCCATATATCATTCTGCTTCATGTCTCCCTGTGACAAGGACAGAGGTTCCAGCAGTGTAGGCACAGAAGGGCCATATGATGATGTAGCACCTGCATACTTGGTTGGTTCCTTTAAAAAAAAAAGTCCACCAGGAGGTAGTAGGTATGATGTTGGGATTCTATAACTCATCTGGTAAATATGAAAACGTGATAAATAAATCTGCCATCTCCATTCTGTTATTAAGGCCAAGAGAGTGCATAGATTTTCCTCTAAATCCTTTCTATTATGCCAGATGAGCATTTAAAAGCCATAGAACCAGCTCAGTGCCTGTGGCTCAAGTGGCTAAGGCGCCAGCCACATACACCTGAGCTGGCGGGTTTGAATCCAGCCTGGGCCCGACAAACAACAATGATGGCTGCAACCAACAAATAGCTGGGCATTGTGGCGGGCGCCTGTAGTCCCAGCTACTTGGGAGGCAAAGGCAGGAGAATCGCTTGAGCCCAGGAGTTGGAGGTTGCTGTGAGCTGTGATGCCACAGCACTCTACCCAGGGTGACAGCTTGAGGCTCTGTCTCAAAAAAAAAAAAAAAAAAGCCACAGAACCAACATAAGTCATCTGCATTACACTAAGATGCTCATTTACCCAACATCAGTAGTGATACTGTTACCTCAAACATTACACATGGATTAGTCAGATGGTGGTGACCACACAGAAAAAAATTTGAATAGGAATTTATTTCTTAAAATTGGCTTAAAGGATTAGAGCTAGTATATAATAGAACGCTTATGATAACATTTAGAGTTACGTCAACATAAAAATGATAACTGTGGTTACAATTAACACATGCAATTCACTGTAAAGATAAAAAATACATAGGATACTCTAGACAAGCTTTCCAAATGAAGTTGGCGGGGTAAAACCGCCGGTGAAATGTGAAAGGATTGCACTTGAAAGGGAATGGGACAGAGCTGGGATATGACAAGGAGATACACCTAATGCTCATCACTGTATTGTCCTAGAAGATTGCACATTTATTTTTAGAGTATATTAATATACATATACATTAAGACTAAAGAATTTTCAAATATCTACCTTTAAAATATCCCTTTGTTTCTGGCACATCACATTTTGGTGTTTAACAGCATTTGAAACCTATAGTTATTCAGATAAAGCTTGTGTTCAAGGGACAAAACATTTTGAATGTCTATCACCATCAGCTGTAAATGTGTTTCATCATAATCCATCAACTTTAATTAGCATTTGAGTAATGGAGTTAAACTAACCCACTTCCAGGAACCATTGGCTGCAAAGCCCTTAAACATTAGGAACAAATGAGTAACAGAAGAGCTCCCCTGAACTGTCACCTTTTTAATGCAACTTACTAAGAATGTTATGCTAATGCATACCGGTATCCTGTAGGGTGGAAAAAAAAGATTAATCCAAAACACGTTACATCGGCTTTGGAAAGTTTGACATCTGAATTATTTGTAAACGATCTGAAAAGAAACTGCTGCCAAAGACCAGTCCAAAGAAGAATCAGGCTGCAGGTTTGGTTTACTAGTTCATACCTTCTTTGACAAGGTAACACTGTCCAATTTTAGACTAATTCTAAATATCTTGTCATTTTATGGCTCCATATTCTTTTAAGTTAGTGAAAAGTACAAAAAAAGTTTTAAAGTAGTCTTACCCAAGCAATATAACCTAATATCTACAATAGAAAGCTATTCCAATATGTTTGAACAGCTGAATTTTAAATTTTATGTAGCTTACTTTGATGTTTTACTCATCTCAGCAAAATAAAAACCTTATTGAAACAGAAACGTACGCTTTAGAAATTTGCTCTTAATATCAACTGGGCAAAATAAAACAGGAGAATGTTGTAGAATACAATAGGAGGAAGTTCTCTTTTGCTTGATTTGCTTGGTCAGTACATGCCAGTAAAGAGAAATACTCTGGGAGTTCTAGACGATTATTCTACTTCTTCACTTACATGTCATGGTTTTAACTAGTTAACTGTGTGGGTAGAAAGACATCTCTGTGTTTATTTCTAAGACTACTTTAGATGTTCTACTTTAAACATGAGCTTTAATAAATGTTTTGTAAATATATTTCATTAACCTTTAATGTCACAGTAAGAATTACAGTCATTGGATGACTTCATGTGGTAAAATCCTTGACTAAGGAATAATGCTGAAATTAAATGAATAACTAGGTAGGAAAGATAGAATATTAATGATTTTGCTTTTTCCTACATGTTTTTATTCAAATGTTGAGTATTCAAATGCTGACTGATCCATGTTAAAAAAGGATTACAATTTTAGGCTTTAATCAGTAAAATTTCTGAAGTTTAAAGTTTTCTAATAATTATTAAGCACTCTTCTTTCATGAGATAACAGCAGGATACCACAGAGACTGGTAACTGACAGTCAAATTACAATAGCAACACATGTGACATTTGGACCATTATTTTTTAATCCCAGAGGGGGCAACAGCAGTTGTAGAAGCAGTGAATGGGTTTTGACCACAAACAGGCTGTTTTCTCACATGCTGGCATTACTTTAAATGACATTTTTAGCCACTAAAGATTTAAAGAGTAAACCATCCTTTTCTTGGGGTTGTCCAACGAGCACAGTGAGGGCAGGACTGCTAACACCTACACAACACGCTTGTATCAACTAAAACTTTGCTTTATGTTGGTGCAATTTTTGAAAGAAAGAAAAATCTTTTTCCCGATTAAAAAAACAGATTTAAAGAGTGATAAACCACTAATGTTATTAGACTAGTTTTTACATAAATAAACCAGATTTGTTTCCCTGCCTACCTAAAGTACAATTTACGTGCGTGAAAACAGATTATACTAAGACATGCTCCAGGAAAGTAATCTTGTGTTTAAAGCAAGTTTTATGATTGCTTTTCTCTTTAGAACAAAGATATACATTACATAGTAGAGCTGAAATATATATTCATTTCCCGAGTGAGTTTCTGCACAGTATTCACATGTCCATTTAACGTCTAAAGTGCCCTTGTGGCTGTGGACACTTACTGTACCATGCTCTATAAAGGTTTCAACATGCAAATCTGCTTATATGAAGTCCTTTCTTCAAGGACCTTTCACTCTCATTCCCTCAGATCACGAGTTCACATTTTATAACTGACCCCCAAATGTACAAACTTCACACTACAATGTTCTTTACAATATAGCTATTTGTTATGAGGAAGGTTACAGCTAAGGACAATTATAATAACATGACTACTTATTTTGAGGAAATGGAAAATGTAACAGGTAAAAATTTCCTGACAGACATATATAGCAAGACAAATCCAGTTCTGATCAAGCCTAGCTCCTGATGTCCAAGATAATGGTGGTGTTGCCACTATCTTGCGTGAATTTGAGTCTCTGTCCCTCATCTTCCTTATTCTACCAATCTACTTCTGCCTAAAGTAGGAAACTGAATATATCAGAATAAAGCATTTACTCAAAGACCATATATGTGTACAAACTGCAAAGTATTATGCATTATATAAATGCAAGAATACAAAAGATAAACAGGATCTAACATGAATAATAATCTGAGTAAAAACTAGAATTATATTTCAGTTGTAAATGTATGCCAAGTTTTCTTAGTCTTATTCTTCAAAAACCTTCACAAACTATTTTAAATCTACCTGATTTCTGTAACTTAATTATGACAGAAAAACAAACCTATTTCCTGCGAACCCACTTGCTAACAACAGTCAACCACTAATGAGGTTTCCTCTTACTTCCTCAGGCCCTATTTTTAGCCTCCATGTCACATGTGGTTGTCAGGGGACAGCAAAAATGCATAGGTGGCTTCAGTACTAAACTCTAGAAGTCTGGTTTTCTTCTCTCCTGCAGAAGAGAAGAGGTTTAAAATATTCCAAAATCAGCTGGGTGCAGTGGCTTGTGCCTGTAGTCCCAGGGAACCTGAGGCAGGAGGATTACATAAGCCCAGGAATTCACATCTAGCCTGGACAACACAGCATGACCCCATCTCCAAAAAAAAAAAAAAAGATGAAAAAAAATCCTAAATTGGGTAAGGTGCCAGCCACATACACCTGAGCTGGCAGGTTTGAATCCAGCCTGGGCCCGACAAACAACAATGATGGCTGCAACCAAAAAATTGCCAGGTGTTGTGGCGGGCGCCTGTAGTCCCAGCTACTTGGGAGTCTGTGGCAAGAGAATAACTTGAGCCCAGGAGTTGGAGGTTGCTGTGAGCTGTGATGCCATGGCACTCTACCCAGGGCAACAGCTTGAGGCTCTGTCTCAAAAAAAAAAATCCCAAATCACAATACAGAACTAAGTTCCATCCTACCTCTACAACTCACAGGATTTGAAACACTATCTCTTTTTTCAGTGTCTCCACAATAAAGATATTTGCTAACTTCAATATGTACATTTTTGGGGTTATGTTTTGTTTGGGTATATACTGTCCAAGTCCTCTAACTTCATTTATTTCAAACACCTGTTAGAAAATTTTTAAATCTTGTCTTATTTAAAAATGAAAATGAAGTACACGCAACACACTTCTGCCTCTGATCAGTGGTGATCAAACAAAAAATCCAAACACACTTTAAATTGAAAACATACTGTGTAAAGTGCTTCATCACCAAATTCTCTGAAGTCTTAAGGATTAATGATCCTTAGGTACTTTATATAAACATAGGAAATGTTAACCCTTTCAGCCTTTATAAATGGCAAACAATTTTTAAAGGTGGCATTTCTACTCCTTATAAGTTTGTAAAATGGATCTTTAAAGTTGTCAATAACAGCAAATTTTTGAAAATTAGTAAAAATTATTGATTATACATTTAAAAAATATTTTTAATATGCCAAGTTAAAGCTCCAGAATTCCTTTTCTCTAGCAACAACTGTGGCAGCATCATTAACAATGAAATGGAAGGGAATTAAGGAATGGAATAGTTTATACGTTGCTATAAATAGGAGGCACTCCCCCTTTTTTGTCAAACTACAAAAGGTGGGTTGGGCTCATCAGTTAAGTCCTATGAGCCTCTTTTCAATTATGTTGTCAGTGAAAGTTGAGAGTCTAGACCTTGTTCCCCTAACTGTTTATATTAACTATTCCTAAGCCACTTTATTTGATGACTGCTTCCATCAAAATCATTATAGCTGTGCTAAGTATATCACTGCCTATTTACTTTCTGTTTCCTGTATAGTAAAACAAAAAGTTTTACTGTATAAATTTCAGACAAATTTTCTGCTCTTCTTCAGTGCAAACATCCTGAAACAGCACAAAGTCATTCAGCTATTCAGAAGATAAAGTCAGTTTATGTAGTGCTTAAAGGAGAATCCCAGATATTCTGGAATGGAAATAGCCCATTGAGAATTCAGTACATTTTTGTCTTTAAGGGCAAATGATCACCTTCAGAGAGTGAAGATTTATTTTTTATCTGAATTCACAGATATATTTTTAGCTTTACTTGTGAAGCTGTAACAGAAACTAGTCTTTCACTGAGGCACATAGCCACCTTGTCTTACAGTCTGTGGTAAGTAGCTTTTAGGCATTCCTTCATCAAGCACAGCCTCCATCCCAGCTGTTTCCAATCTCTCTACTTGTCCCTCCATACCTGGACCAAAAGTATCTGTTGCAGGAACTTCCTGAAGCATTTTCATTTGCCCAGAACCACAGGACTGTGACATATCTGAAATCTGCTGCTGCTTAAGTCTAACAAAATCTTCCTCATTGACTGATGAAACTTGCTTTGACCTTTCAAACTGTGAAATATCTGGACTGGTTTCATGTTGACTGCAGTTTTGTTTGAAATACTGTTGCCTGGACAAAATGCCATCGCTGCCATCTGTATTATCTACTAATTGTAGATCTTCTGGCCGCTCCTCTGAATCTAACAAGGGCTGGGTGGACTCGGATCTTGAGAAGACTTGGACCGATGGAACCTGGTGTCTGTAGCCACTGTGTACCACAGTAGAGTACTGGACAGTGCTCGAAGTGTTTTGTGCAGATTCATTTTCATCACTGCTAGAAATGCTTGGCCTTGAAGAAGACATGCACGAAGACCCCCCAATACCGCTACTGTGTCCTTCAGTACTGACTTTTTCCTTTTTGAAAAGCTCCAATGATTTCAGATCTTCTGGAAAAGTCTTCTTGTCATTTGCTTCTATTTCCACCACACTGACATCAGTGAAATTGCCATCTGAATATATTTGATCTTTTGAATTAAAATTATGCTAAGAAAGAGAAGAAATGGATTATTAACTATGACATAAATTCATTTAGAAACTCATAGATGTACATGGAAAATACTAGTTAAAGCCACAGAGCTAATACACCTCTGAAACTTATTAATTTTCAGTGGTGCAGAAATAACCTATGTCACATCACTAAATCACTGTTACCTCCCCAAATTGAAGATATTATAAAATAAATCTAAGAATCTGAATCAGGCTGTATTTCCTCAGAAGCTGAAAATACTGCTGGTGTTACATTTTGATAAGCTAATGATCTTCAAACATTATTTATTTCATGCCCATATTATAAAGCCTAGAGGTAACTGGATCGCAAACTAGAAAACATTAAGAAAAATGAAACCTGAATGAATGAGGCTTTATAGAATGTAATAACATACAGCATATTTTAATCTGTTAATATAAAGTTCAAGGATTGTAAGAGGATGATAAATACAAATGATTTCTCTTTAGGGTATATTTTAAGTTCAAAAAGTTTAGATTCCCAGAAATCATTTCATCAGTGTTAAATGGTAGATTGTTAAACTTGGTTCTAATATTCAATCCCAAATGCCGGTCTTCTAACAGTTATCATCATAGGAGTTTTTAGCACTTTTACATTTTCAGTTTATAAATTCAACCAAATATTTGTTGTGTTTACTAAACAAAATTAGGAATGTTCCAACAAATATGCTACCCTTCGATCGTACTGTATGTATTTTAAATTTTAATTAAAAATTTTATTATGTACTATTTTACTTTCATTTACTTTTTGATTCAGCCTGAATATCTCTTGGATGAACTCTACAAAGGTATCGTAATATACCTGTCTATTATAAACAACTCGGAGGCATTTTATCTTACCCTTGGAGGTGTGTGAGGTGACCACTGGGCAATATGACTCTTTGAAGGGTCTGGAACATTAGGCCAGATGTGCTTTTTAATACTAAAGAGAACAGAACCACATGTAATAAACCATGAATCGTCCCTATTTCTAAGCACATTCATGTAAGAATCTTAAGAATTAAACAAATCTACTTAATTAAAAAGAAAACTTGACCCCAAAGCTAAACAAAAAACCCTGATTTTTCTTTTCTTTTCTTTTTTTTTGAGATAATCTCACCATGTCGCACTTAGTAGAGTGCCATGGTGTCACAGCTCACAGCAACCTCAAACTCTTGGGCTTAAGTGATTCTCTTGCCTCAGCCTCCCAAGTAGCTGGGACCAAAGGCACCTGCCACAAGGCCCAGATATTTTTTGGTTGTAGTTGTCATTTTTTTTTCTTTTTTAACAGGCCTGGGCTGGGTTCGAACCCACCAGGCCTGGTATGTGTGGCTGGAGCGCTAACCACTGCACTATGGGTGCCGAGCCAAAAAACCTGATTTTTCTTTTAACCCATATGAAAATACTGTTAAAAATGCATAAGGAACTGTTAATGAGGCTAACACTATTTAGTCAAGATAAATCAAAACATGCCCACAGAAAGCATTTTATGTGAATGTTCATAGCAACACAAGCTAAACTTCTGTAATAGACGAATATTTTGATCTATCCGTTGTATGGAATAACTATTTGGCAATAAAAAATAAAAACATTAGTATAGGCAACATCATGGATGAATCTCAAAAATATCATGCTAACTGAAAGATACTATACAAAAGGCGATAAGCTATCGATTCCATTTACATAAAATTCTATAAGAGGCAAAACTATAGTTAAAGAAAACAACCAAAGACTGTGCGATAAGGGACTGAGGAAGAGGATGGACTACAAAACAGAATGAAGAAACTTTAGGGTGGGGGAAGTGTTCTACATTCAGGGGTGTCCAGCCTTTTTTTTATTGGAATAAGAGTTGTCTTAGGCCACGCATTGAATACACAAACGATAAAAAAAGCTGATTAGCAAAAAACAAACAATAACAAAAACCCCAAGTCCTCACAAAATCAGCATGCAGCCTGTGGGCAGCAGGTTGGACACTTCTGTTTTACATCTTGATTGTGGTGCTAGTTATTTACCTGTATTTAATTACAAAACTTCATCCGACCATAACCTTAAAATGGATGAATTTTGTGATACATGAATTATAGCCAAATAAAGCTGGGGAAAATTCAAATATATGAATAAGAATACTTACAGGTCTCGTTTATTAAAGCAGAACAACACTGCCAGAAGAGTTGTCAGCAGGAATGCGAAGCAAACAGGCACAACAATGGCTTCAATTTCTCCTTGAGCTAAAAAAAACAAAACGCCCCAAAACAATGAAATAGGAGGATGGGAACTAACTGATGACACATCCACCAAGGAGAAATACAACTTCCCAACCAGACTACTGTGGAAAAGCTGACACACCATCCTGATTTGTTTCAGTCTTTTCAGACTTAAGCTAGTTTCTCCACCACTTTCCTTGGGAAATCATATTCTAGCCATTTATGCCTTACATAGCTACCTGGCCACATACCATAAAATATATGTTGGCTGGGGGATTCAAATCATTTGTTCAGTTTATTAGATAATCTACCTGGGTAAGTTAAAACTTTCAAACTGTCCCTTTCTTATATTTATGATTTGCATTGAGCAGAATCTTAGCAAAAGCTTATCTTTGAGTTCTAACACCTATCACTGTTAACACACAAATCAGAACAAATACTTGAATACTGGGTAAACCTGGAAAGGCTACAGAATAACCTAACTGAATTAAACATTTAACCTTCTACAAGGAATAAAAACACAACTCTCAATTTTTAATAGTTATTTACCATTTTGAAAAAGTTGATATAGCTGATATAGGGCTTAGAATTTTAGGAGATGCTCAACAGACACAAGGAGTGGCACAAGTGAAAATAAATCATCTTCAGAGGAAACAAGCCTACGATTCCTAAGTACCATTCAAATCCTGATTTGCATTTAAAAGAGGATTTATTAACCAAATGAACCCCTAATTGGGACAATTAATATTGGAAACATTAAATGGTTTACCTGACGTTTCTTTTTGGTTACCTTCTCTAGCCCTCTTTTAATTAGTCTTTTACAGTAATAATGTACAAAAGTAATATTGCAGCCATATACTACCCGATCTTCCCACCACACATAGCCATATCCCTTACCATCCTATGAAGCCCAGTAGAAATCAAGAAATCAGATCAATGCTTGGGAATAAATTACAGATTAACATGTATTAACTCTTAAATGGTAAGGGATATATATATGTCTCAGATCTAATTTAGGTAGAACCTTCTTTGAAGATGAACCTATCTCCCTACCCCCTAACTGGTTTCTTTAAATTCCTACTTTTACTTACTGTCTACACAGCCCCCTGGTTTTCCATTTGTTTTGTTTACTTATGCTGTATTTCTTAAGCTATTAGGTTGGTGGTGAGACCCATGCGATGTAAAGAAGCCATGTCTCCAGGAAACAATAGACAGGTAATTGAAAATAAGAAGATTATCCTAAGGAGTATGATCTAAGTTTTGGAAAAAATGTATACATAGAAAGACTAAAAGATATACAAATGTTATAAGGAAATTAGGATTGATTTTTCTTCCTCTTTGTATTTTACTGTAGTCTAAATTCCTTATAATGAACATTACTTTTATAATCTAGAACAGCAGTTGTCAACTTGTGGGTTATGACCCACAGGAATTGTATTAAAGGGTTGTGGCATTAGGAAGGTTGAGAACCACTGATCTAGAAAAATATTTTAAAAGTTTGTAATTTTTATTTTCTAGAGATTATGATGTAAAGTTTTATTTCAATTATTATTTGTTATAGATCTACTTCAGTAACATACCACCACATGGGACAAACTTTATCACAGAAACTACATTCATTAGCCTTAACAGCAAAGCTCAAAACCTTTTATTATCTGGGTTTTTTTGAGATTTTCTTTTTTATTCAGTCATATACACATAGATCATGAATACATTTATGCATATGCGGGGTACAATGTGTTGGTTTTTTTGTTTATACAATCTGACATGGTTACACCAATCAACATAGCTTTTGCCTCATTTACTTGATTACTGTGTTAAGACATTTATGTTCTACATTTGACAGATTTGACTTGTACCCTTGCAATATGCTCCATAGGTGTGGTCCTGCCTTTTACCCTCCCTTCCCACTCCATATAGTTGTGTTCTATCTTTCATAAGATAGTGTGAGTGGGCAGCTCCTGTGGCTCAAAGGAGTAGGGCCCCATATGCCAGAGGTGGAGGGTTCAAACCCAGCCCCGGCCAAAAACTGCAAAAAAAAAAAAAAAAAGTATGAGTAAACATAAGTTGGTTTCATAGAAGTACTGAGTATATTGGATACTTTTTCCTCCATTCTTGAGACAACTTTTATTATCTGTTTTATGCAGTCACTTAATTAGCAAGCATTCAACCAACAAGGAACATGGACCTTACTATTTGTCATTTACTGTGTTAGCGCTTGGGGGTGGGGTTTATAAAACTAAATACAATAAAATAAGGTAACTTTTTAAATGATGTGAAATGCAAAGGGAATAAGAAAGAATTTAGCTTAGGTCTGCTTTAGGGAGGCTATAAGAACAGCCAAAACAAGAGAAGGCAAGGACCGAAATGAGGACAATGCCCTGGGGAAAGACACAGATAGGTGGACAGTATGAGGAAGAGCTTACGGTTGGAGAAAGCTATGATGAAAACATAGGCAAAAGCAGTAATTCATTAAGCACAATCAATAGGACCTGACCCTTGGCTATGTGAGGGGAAAAGATACAAAGCAATTTATAGCAATTACATCTAAATTTCTGGCTATGGCAAAGCGCTGGGGGGGGTGCGGCACGGAATAAAGTGAGAGAAACGTGTTTGGGAAGGAAAGGGAGGCCAGGTAAAGTGGTGGACAGGGAGTTGGAATGGGCAGATAAGAAAATAAGGCCCCAAACAGACTTCTGGGGAATACGAACCATTGGAAAGTAGAGCAGAAAAGGAGAACAAGTAGGGAGCACTTTTTTTCCCCCTTTGAGGGTGCTAATAGAGAAACAAAGGAAAGGATGTTTAGAAAAACCAAGGGAGGAGGGAGTTTCAAGATGGAAAGGGCAAGACTCAAACACTGAAAGAGGACAACAAAGAAGACTACAAAGCATGAAGGGGGTGTGACGTGTAATGACTGAGAGGTCTTCTGTGAGTGACACCAGAAAGGACGCAGCGGAGGTGTGGGGTTGGAAGCCTCAGGTCAGCAGGTTAGACTCAGCTGGATGTATGGAAGTGGAGACTGGGACGGTGGGAATCTGTCTAAAGATCTCACACCCAAACCAGTGAAGAAAATGAACCTGCTTGGAAAAGGTACACAAATTCTTCTGGAATTTAGAGTTTAGATGAATTTAGTCAGAAGCTGTTAATAAAACACCAAAAAGGCGAGGAATCGTATTTCCTGTTGTTTATATCAACGAACTAGATAAACAACCAAAACCATAATTTATGAACACTTAATTCACTTTTCAAAATAGTTTAGTATATAAACTATGTCCATTTCCATTCTAATTAAGCTTAAAAGGGGGGAAAAAATTAAAGAATAAACTTTAGTACTTCTTACCAAACTTTGGCGTAGTAAAAGTGAATTCTGGACCATCCTTGCCACCTTCGTCTGTGTATGCTGCCATCCGCACCATGTATAATGTGTCACTAGTCAGTGAGGACAGTGTATATTCTGTGTGGGATGAATCCACATTCACAGCTGGAAAAAATAAAAAACTGTGTTAGGCAGCTACTCAATGCTTTTGCTTCACCTGGCCTATATTTAGCACTGTTTTAGAAAGGAATAAAAATATTTTTTGACAGGAATCAACATTTATAACTCTATTATTCTGCCCATAATATTCTTCTACAAGCACAACACATTATTTTTTAATAGAGCCACCAAAGCAACCAAAGGTGTACTCTTGGGTGTCTCCTGAAGACAATATACTGTAAGAAGACAGACTACATAAGACACGCTGAGACTTCAATGAGCACAGAAAGCTTAGGAAGAAAACACTTGATTCTTAATAACGGATACAGTTGTATTACCAGTTTCATTTCCAATGATGGTTCTATAAAATATAGTATAATTTCTGATAAATCCATTCTGAACATCAACCGGAAGGTGGTCCCACTCTAAGACAGCTTCATTTTTCCCTACTTTTTTTGTTCGAACAGTGGGTCCTCTGGAAGGTGCTGTAACAGAATAAATATATTTGCTAAGTGAAAATATTAGAATTGAGTAAAATTTCCTTATCATAAAATTATTTGAACATAGTCTTACTTAAAAGTGACATGCCTTTAAGAAAAAAAAAGTGAGTCTGCTCAGTGCCCGTAGCACAGCGGTTATGGCACCAGCTACATACACCAAGGCTGGTGAGTTATTTAGCCCTGGTCAGCTAAATAACAATAACAACTGCAACAAAAAATAGCTGGGCATTGTGGTGGGTGCCTACAGTCCCAGCTACTTGGGAAGCTGAGGCAAGAGAATCACTTAAGCCCAAGAGTTTGAGATTTCTGTGAGTTGTGATGCCATAGCACTCCACCAAGTGGGACATAATGAGACTCTGTCTCAAAAAAAAAAAAAAAAAAAAATTGACATGTCTTTGTAAGTATGAAACTCTTAACATTTTTTCAAAGAAAGTGAGTTTGGACTTACGAGCTTGTTTAAGATATGCCTTTATAGATTCAGGGCTTCCTGGTCCATCAGCATATACTGGCGTAACTGTGATCAAATAGCATTTGCTCTCTGCTAGGTTCCCTAAAGTAAAAATAGCAAATTAAGCAATTTTTGACTCATAATGAAAAACTGAATTCCTATTTTTTACATTACAATTTCATAATCACTTAACTTTCCTTCCTTTAAAACTGCAGTTTTCTAAGCAAGCATTGCCTTTTGTGTACTGGATTCAACTTTAGTTAAGGTAAAACTGTTTTATAATGGTACTGCCAATACAGTGGATAAAAAAAGATATATTTTTATTAAGAGTAATGACTGTATTTAAAACAATGATCTCAAATTGCTCTGGGTCTTACTTAAGAGTGAACAATTTTTATTTTTATTTTTTTTGAGACTGAGCCTCAAGCTATCCCCCTAGGTAGAGTGCCATGGCATCACACTCACAGCAACCTCCAACTCCTGGGCTCAAGTGAGTCTCCTGCCTCAGCCTCCCAAGTAGCTGGGACTACAGGCGCCCGCCACAACGCCTGGCCATTTTTGGTTGCAGCCATCATTGTTGTTTGGCGGGCCTGGGCTGGGGATTTGAACCCGCCACCGTAGGTGTACGTGGCTGGCGCCTTAGCCACCTGAGCCACAGGCGCCGAGCCAAGAGTGAACAATTTTTATGTATCTTACCTAACTGTCTGAGAACTGATTAAAGAGCAAGATACCACTAGTAAGACGTAGGGAAAGGCTCTAGCAGGCCTGGTTTGTTAGAGTTAGAAAAAAAACAGGCTCGGCGCCTGTGGCTCAAGCGGCTAAGGCGCCAGCCACATACACCTAAGGTGGCGGGTTCGAATCCCCAGCCCGGGCCCGCCAAACAACAATGACGGCTGCAACCAAAAAATGGCCAGGCGTTGTGGCGGGCGCCTGTGGTCCCAGCTACTTGGGAGGCTGAGGCAGGAGACTCGCTTGAGCCCAGGAGTTGGAGGTTGCTGTGAGCGTGATGCCATGGCACTCTACCCAGGGGGATAGCTTGAGGCTCCGTCTCAAAAAAAAAAAAAAAAAGAAAAGAAAAAAAACAATTGTGCTATTTCCCCTACAATTAGAAAAATTATCTCAAATACTTCCTTTATTTATAATCCCTCCACATTACTACAGTAACTTATTTTTTGAGCATGCACCAGTAAAACCTTTCTTTTTATGTAGTATATTATCTACATTAGAAAATAAGGTTTTAGTGAAGTTCACACCATCAATAAGAACTTACTTTCCTTATAGTTTATGAAATTATATGCTCTTTTGCTTTCTTAAATAGAGTGCTTTTACTTTTTCATGATGATTCAATAATATCAAGAAATGAACAATTGCTATATTCTCCAGTAACAGTGGTGGTTTCAGAGTTACTGAGCTATAATAGGGCCCAAGCTTAATGTCTCTAGAGCCTATGCTATGCTTTTATAAAAAGTTTCCATTATCCAGCTATTTCTGCCTCCCCCCCTCATTACACTTTGTTTTTACTTTGACAAGGCTGATAAACTATACAAGTAAGCTTATTAAAAGTATATTGGATAATAGGTTAATGAGGGCCAAAAAGCCCATTTCATAAATAAAGTTAAAAACCTTATGGCAGGATATGGTATCTCTCTGCTTAGGGCTCTTCTCTGATTAATCACGTTATTCACAGCTGAATTCTAATAATCATTCTTTCTTCTTTATTAAAAAAGCTCATTCAAGCTGAGTGTTTTTATTTTCCCATTAGACTTCTTATGTTACTTTACAGACACTTAAATAGTACCTTCCTTAACACAGAACAATACATTTGCACCTCTGTAATAGCAGTACTTTCTGTCCTTTGTTAATGCTTCCAGTTGAACGACAAAAACCTGAGTTCTAGTTCTGCTTCCCCAGTTTGATGGCTGTAAGAAGTCAAACAAGTCATCCAGATGCTCTAGGAAACTATTTTCTCATCTGAAGGATGAAGGAGTCAAATTAGGTACAAAAAGTATGTTGGACTCCGTATATTTCTCTATCACTTTACAGTTTTATGAATCTACTTTGGTGATAAAACAACAGTGGGGTATAAGAAAAGACAGCATGAACCCCACTCTATCCATAAAGAGACCCTATAGTTCAGAGTGGTTAAGTGTGACTTCCTGAGAGTCACACATCTAAAAAATTAGTGGAGCTATGATAAATCAGAAGTCTTTTCAATGGACCACAACATCTATAAACCAGAAAAGAATGCAAAAGAAAGATCTGTCTAGAGAGTTAGAAAAGGATTATCAACTTCAGTGTTCCTAGCCAGGTATACCTCTTATATAGGTGCGACGCACGGTACGATCTTCTTGTTGCCAGTCTGGAATACAGGGTGACTTATCCGATAAGATGCACCATTCAATTATGTATTTGTTTACAGATTTCCTTGGAGGAGTCCATTCTACCCATAGCATGTTATTTTTGGGGAATGCTTTAAGATTCATTACAGGGTGAGCAGCTTTAAAACAAAGTTTGAATACAGATATAACAAATGAATATTCAAAAAACTGAAATTTCCATATTTTATAGTCATTTTCAAAACATGTAATTTGTCAATTTCTATAACATATGTTAAATCTACATTTCCTTGCATAAAAGCACTTTATGGGAAATAGATAATCAGTTTATTTTTAACTCTTTAAAAAAGTTTTTTTTTTAGAGATGGGGCTCTATGTTGCTCAGGATGGCCTTGAACTCCTAGACTCAAGAGATCCTCCTGCCTCAAGCCTCCGAAGTAGCTGGGACTATAAGCACACACCACTGTACCCAGCAAATTTATTTATTTATTTATTTATTTTTTTAAGAGACAGAGTCTCACTTTATTGCCCTCGGTAGAGTGCCATGTCATCATAGTGCACAGCAACCTCCAACTTCTGGGCTTAGGCGATTCTCTTGCCTCAGCCTCCCGAGTAGCTGGAACTACAAGCACCTGCTAGAACACCTGGCTATTTTTTGTTGCAGTTTGGCAGGAGCCAGGTTTGAACCCACTACCCTTGGTATATGGGGCCTGCACCCTACCCACTGAGCTACAGGCACTGCCCCATTAAACTTGAATTTTTGCCTCCCCAAATTGTTCAAATATTGTATTATATAAGTTTGCAACTGCAATTTTTTGTCTTTTGAAAGCAATGAGACATATGCATTTACAGTTCTCAAAATCTTGAAATAAAACTTTTAAAGCCAGGTAAGTAATCAGAAAGTGCTTAAATGAATCAAGTAGGGTTTAAGTGAGCCATGTAGAGACAGAAGTATTTCATGCATACTGATGAAATCTGCCTGCTGAACAATTTCTAAAAATGTAATCATCCCTAATCCTCAGGAGACAATCCGTCTTGACTACTTGTGTTTTTTTATGGGAGCCCTGTCTATACCTAACCACCTTTATTCCATCTATAAGTCAGGCTCCACCTCACAGAAACAAACCTTTAAAGTCACAGGCAGGAACAGTTAAAATCGATATATCTGATCTGCCAACACGATTTCTTGCTGTTAGGGTTGCTATATGACGATCACTTGTGAGATTTACTGTCAGTTTTGTGTCATTCACAATGTAATTTTGTAAAGGTGATTTCCATCTTGTAAGAGTCACTTCATAATCCAAGATTTCTCCATTGGCTTCAAAACGAGGCAATGTCTATAACAAAATAAGTTAAAAAATTTATTTAATCTTAAAGTTAATTTTTCTTTATGTTCACAAATTCTGCCATTATGCTAAATCTCTAAATATTTAATTAGAAAGGACTGGCAATATCATTTGAAAATGGTACCAAAGTAAAACTACTACATAGTGAGTGAAGACTAAAAGGATGACCTCAACTAAAAGGAGGGGAAGTGGCACCATTCTGTTAGCTTTTAATTCTGTATACAGTTCTGCACTGTGGCCACGGGAGCTTAAATAATTTATTTTATGCTTGAGTATTTTTCTTCTCTGTACCTTTTTTTTTAATATGATCTTTTCACATACATTTATCAACTTATCACCATACATTTTGATTCTCTCAAATCTTTCTTATTTTCTGAGGCACTCTGGAAAATTCCAAAAAGTACAAGACAGGGTCCTTCTAAAAAAACTTACATTTTCATATAAATACCTATTATCTGCAGTTTATGAACTTGACACAAAGTTAAAGCTTTGTGTTTCTATTTATTAAAAAAAGTTATTAAATGCTTTGCTGATATTAAGATGAATAAAAATTTAACTGTTAAAAAAAAACCTCTGCTCATACTCTACACAAACATATTTATATAAAAGGTAAAAGAATGTAAATGTGATTTTTACCTTCCACACAAGTTGTACAGATCTATAGCCAGGAGTATGATGGGATGGATCTATTTTATACCAGAAGCTTGGTGATTTAGACGGTCCTAAAGGAAAAACATAAACTTTTAAAATATGAAGTTTTAACAGTAAAACATAATCCTGGAAGTTATTCTTACTTCGTTCTTCACATACTTGTCCTTCAATTGCATGGTGTTTCTAAATCATTATACCAGCACTTTTCTATCCCTGCACGATACCCCTGGGTCTTCCTCAGAAAGCATAATAGCTTGATGATTTAGATTATATTGGAACTCTTTTCTAACCTCAAAACGTAAAGGTACAAATGTATCCTAAGAAATAACCAAAGAGGCATCCTATTTCTTACTTTCTTATAATGTCATGTTTTTCTGGTTTGGGTGCTGCGCTGTATGGGCGTGTTACTTACTACTTGAACCTCCTCTACTGGCAGGCCTCTCTCCAGCCTTCCTGATCTGCCTGTTCTCTCTCTCTCTCCTGTTTTTTTTTTTTTTTTGGTCACTTACAATTACCTCTTATTGATCAATACACACTGCTTGGATTTTATTCAAATCTCTTTTTATTCCACTGAATACTGTATCTTATGATTACAAAATTTTTGGAAAATAAGTTGATACTATTGATTTTTTAAAGATGAACTTTAAAATAAAAATTAGTTGATACTACTTATTGTTAAAAATCTACTTACTGCTAAAAATCAATTGGAAAATGATATTTAAATACATGCCTAAAATCCCTAAATATACGTAAGATTATTAAGTTAATGTAGTAAAAGTGGTATAACTTTATTACTTTATGTAGGGATGATTCAGATAGGATATAATAAAAACAAATACACAGTACCATTATGATAATCACTAATCATGTGAAAGAGCACTTCATAAAACAAAGTGTTAAACACCAGTCATTAGGTTTTTAAAATTTGTATAATATCAATTTCCAAAATTTTTATATATTGAAAACATGGTATCAACAGGAAAGGATTTGAATAAAATCTAAGCAGTGATATTGATCATGACACTAACCACAGAATGTTATTTTTTTTAAAGTATCTTATGAACTTCCCCAAATAGATCCATGTACCTTTCTTTATAGGGCCCAAGAATCCTGGTTTAAGAATTCTTGGTCAAGACAAATGAACCTGGTTAAGGAGTTATGAACCAGCAACTGTAGGATTTCTTTCTTTCCTGGCTTTAATAAGAAAGAATGTGAGAGAAAACTCTTAGGGGAGGAGGGTACTTTTTTTGCCTTTGACCTAAGTCTCTAGTCGAGCTGGAAGTGAAGGGATATGGATGCTAAAGGAAGTTTTTAAGCTTCACCTGTTGCTCTTGGGACCTAAAAGGTGAGATTATGATAAGAAAATGTTCAGAAAGAACAATCTATATGCCACAGGATTATTTTTTTTTATTTTTTCGAGACAGAGCCTCAAGCCATTGCCCTGAGTAGAGTGCTATGGCATCACAGCTCACAGCAACCTCCAACTGCTGGGCTCAAGCGATTCTCCAGCCACTGTCTCCCAAGTAGCTGGGACTATAGGAGCCCACCACAATGCCCGGCTATTTTTTGGTTGTAGCTGTCACTGTTGTTTGGTGGGCCCAGGTTGGATTCGAACCTGCCAGCTCAGGTATATGTGACTGGCGCCTTAGCTGCTTGAGCCACAGGCGCCAAGCCAGGATTATTTCTTGAGGGCTACATATAAAATGAGTAACATGAGCTGCTCTGTGGATGGAATCTTTAGGTTGTACACCTTTTGTATTTTATACCATACGCATTAATTTACCTATGGGAGAAATGGAAAATAACTAACCAAAATTCCAGGACCAATCTTTTTCTAGGGGTTTATCAAGTACTGGTAGAAAAAAAAAATGAAGGAAAGGTATAGTACAATTTTTTTTTTAATAGTGAGAGTCTAAGACATATTTTACCACATAGTGTGATTTTAATGTTTCAGGTTATGATTCCCTAGTTAGAATCTTTTAACCACACTCCTTGATTAAAACGTTCTGGATTTATCAACAGTTAAGTCATTGGTTTTCTGATGGTATCTAAGACATCACTCCATAATAATTTTCCTTATTTAGGTATCAGATAGATTTATTCTACCAATAATGCATGTTAAGTTTTACATCTTGATTTCCTTATAAATGAAACGTATAAATACTACAGTTTGAATAAAATGAGCACAAAATAAGAAGCAGTGAGGTCTGTGTTATTAACACAAGACACTATTTCCAGCCAGAATTCCAACAGCGTGGTTTCTTCACACACTTATTTACTTACTATCTTCATATGTGGTCCCACTTGCTTCTTCACTCCAGTCGCTCCAGAACCCCTTACCATCTTCCTTTATGCAGCGAATCCTAAACACGTATTTTGTAAAAGGTTTAAGATCCTGAACAGTAAATGAAGATCGGGTAGATGATGTATCTTCAGGAGGAATCTGAAATCAAGCAAATGGACCAACCAAAAACCTCAATAAATAAGGTTTTCCTAAATTGTGTTAGAATTTTTTTCCCCTTTTTTTTTTTTAATTGAATGGTAACTACATACATTAATGCACTTCTGGGGTACAGTGTGGTATTTTCACACACAATCCAAAACACTTCCATCAAACTGGTTAACATAGCCTTCATGTCATTTTCTTAGTTATTGTGTTCAAACAGTTGTGTTAGAATTTAGGAACAATAGGAGAAGATTTTCGCAGGTTATGTCTCCAACAAAGGTTTAATAACCAGAATCCATAGATAACTTAAACGTATTAGCAAGAAGAAAACGAGTGATCCTATCTCAGGGTGGGCAAGGAACTTGAAGAGAAATTTCTCCAAAGAAGA